CCCCCCCAATGTGTGTGTGAGTTGTGTGTTCGACACGTTATGTGTCTTTGTTACTGAATTTTATTTGTTTCTGTAATTGTTTTGGACTTTTGGTCCGCGTTGTGTTCTTGCATTTTCTGTGCTGAATCCAACCGTATAAAGAACTTGAAATTTGGATAAACGGTTGGAAAGTTATAGGCAAAACATTGGACAGAGGTCGAAACTGGAAAAACAGATAAACGAATCTGCCCAATAGGTGATAAATAGGTGATAAAAGGGTGATAGAAAATGCTGTTTGTGTTTTTCTTTAGTTTTCTTGTTTTGTTTCTTTTCTTTTACCTTCCTTTATTTATTTTTAGTTCCCAATTTGTATTGTGTCTGTGTGTTGTGTAAAATTAGTGTTCTTTACGTACTCAAATTAGAACTTATAGGAAGCCGACAAGTTCTTCGTGGGATCGACCCCGTACTTGTATAATCTATACCTCAATAGACTCGTGCACTTGCGGGTATTTTTAATTGGTTGTTTGCACATTAATTTGTGTCATTTTAGGAATGCAACATATAGTGCACTACCCACAGTCCCCCAAGTCCTTGGGTAAGAAGGACATTGGAGGGAGGGAACTTGCAACAAAAACCCAAGTGGTTTGCAAGTCCCCAGTTTGTTATGCAAGAGTGCCGAAGGGCATCATAGTACACCGAAGGGCGAGGGATGCCGAAGGTACAAGACTTGCATGTCGCAAGACAAGGTGCTGAAGAGCACGTGACAATTTAGAGTCTTTATGAAAAAGTCTGCCTCTCTTCATCGAGAATCCCCCATTATATGGACATAATACAAGCTAATTTAGGAAAGAATACAGGCCAATCTTCAACCCCTAAAACAGCTAACCTGCCATATATACATCTATCTAATTATAGTTTACAACTAGTATATCCTAATTAAGGAAAGAATAAATCCGTATAACCATAGCTGTCAAAGCTGTCCAAGGCATAGAATCTATTAGCATTAAATGTGTAGTTATTTCCTTTGACATCCCCCCTCAAATTGATGCTGGTAAATCTACAAGCATCAATATGCCAATGAGGAAATGATGGCGTTGACGTGGCATGGATTTGGTGAAGATATCTGCGATCTGTAGACTAGTGGAGATATGTTGAAGGGTGATAACCAGATGATCATAGGCTTCCCTGATTGAGTGACAGTCAACCTCGATGTGCTTGGTGCGTTCATGATAGACGGGGTTGGTTGCAATTTGGATGGCACTAGTGTTGTCAGCATGTAGTGGAGCAGGATGTTCTTGGATTTCCTTATCTTGTTGCTTCTGATACGCATAAGCATCAGCTTGATCTTGGACAAACTTGTCCAATATGTTGAGCTTTCATCTCCTATCCTCCTTGAAAGCAATACCTTGCTCAACCAATGATTCCAAGTACTTATCCCTTGTTTGTTGAGAAGAGTCAGCCATCTTCTTGTTTTTTTTTTGGTAGCGTTTGTTTATCTCGCCTCTCAAGCCTTGGACTAGGCATGGTGATATCGTCTGAGTCGTTATCCAAGTTCAGCATACTTGAACTAGCTCCAGAAGAACGTTGTGTGAGAGGCTCATTTATATCGTTAAGATTTCCCAAGCATGGTACAACTTGAAAGGCCTATTTGGAGGCTTATTATCATTAAGAAATATCGTTTTCGCATACACGTCCTACGCATGAAAAAATAAATTTAAGTTTGGAGTTGAATAAAATTACAAATATAAATTTAAAGCTTTAATCAGAATGGTTACTTACCACATCATGTAGATTTGAGCCACTTCTTGGGTTCGTATTGGCCTTAGTCAAGCATGCCTTCCAAAGAGAACATTGTTGGTTGATAGTCTTGAATCGAGAAGCAATGCTTGATATGTTCGTTGCTCGGGTCCACTAATGCTCGGATCATTTTCCAGAAACTTTTGATATACACGCTTCCAAAATGTGTCGCTTGCTTGATTGGTGCCAATAACCCCATCTTCACTGACAGAAACCCACCCTTTGCACAATGCCTCATCTTCTTCGGGCCCCCAATTCACACCTCTTTGAGATTTTGTGGACATCTTCAACAAGAATGAAAGGAGATTGATGAGATTGACAAAGGAAAAATAAATTGAGAAATAGATAAAATATTTTTGGTA